ATCTTTTTATTTTTCTCGAGGTTTTTGCACTCAAATAATCCTCACAAAATACTGAAATTTCAGTTTGTTATATGTATTAAGCTGCTGATTTTTTTCAAAGATATATGTCTTTTTTGCAACTCTCCAAGATGTGTTTAAGTATAAGATAGAGTGTCCCCCTTTTCAGTGAGTAAGGAACTCTGCATTCTAAGTATAAGAGATTCCCTTTTATAGGAGAAAAGCAGCCCTTTCAATAGGCAAATAAAGTTAGATTTTTGGAAAGATTTTGGTTCACCAAAAATCTGTCCAAAAGACTGACTTTGTGTGCTAAACACTGTTCAAGGTCTGTCCCAAAGGTGAAAGGACAACCTGAAAATCTGCTGTGTCAGAAGCAAGGAGAAAAAATGTCCTTTCAGCCACCCTACTAGTAAAAGTAAGCTACTATTACCCTATTTTGTGATAAAATAAACTAAACTTCAGATTTTAACCATCAACAACAAACTACTTGCTCAACACAAATCAAACTTGGACAACTATGAAATGACAAAGTATAGACGAGACTAAAAACGTAATTGAACTAAGTATAAAAACCAACTTGATGGGAATGAATTGGATTTGTATAAACTAATTACTAAACAAACAACTAAATTCACAAACTAATGCTCAAAACAGAACGAGCATCGTTAATAATCGAACAACGACTAACAACAACTAAATAATCGACTAACTAAGTGAACGATTTAACTAATACACTAAAGATCATGTTTAAATCAATAACGAATCTAACAAACCACTAAACTAAATAGAGATAGCTAATTAAATAAACCTAACTTGAAACTCTAATTAACAAGAAATAACCAAAACAGAAAAANAACAAACCACTAAACTAAATAGAGATAGCTAATTAAATAAACCTAACTTGAAACTCTAATTAACAAGAAATAACCAAATCAGAAAAAATAAAAAAAATAAAAAAAATCATAAACTAATCTACTAAATAAATTTAAAAAAATCAGAAATTAATTAAAGAGATGACGATTATACCTAACATGAAGCCGAAAAATAGCTAAAATGGGGGTTTGGGGCATTTTGGCGGTGGTGAGGCGGTGGAGCCGTGGTGGCGGCGAGGAGCGGGCCGGCGACGACGGGGATTTTGGGGGTGAAATGGGTAGGAAAAGATAGGTCTCGTGGATCTCTATCCATTCATGTATGCATTGTAGGGTGGTATTGGCCGGAGCTTCAAGAATTTGGACCAAAAGGTGGCGGCTAAAGTTTCTTAGATCTAAAATTCAAGGAGTTTGAGGGTTTTTTGAAGGAATTGATTTGGAGATATGGGAAGAGNATTAAAATAGTACAAAAATTAGGTATTCACACCCCCTAGTACCTCACTTGATTCTTCCCATCCTTTATATGTGCATGCATCAGATAATCCGGGAGTTACATTAGTGACTGTCCCTTTCTCTGGTACTGGATATGTATCTTGGAGAAAAAATGTTCTTATTGCTCTCTCTGCTAAGAACAAGGCCGGGATGGTTAATGGGAGAATTACTCAGCCACCCCCTGACTCTCCTTTGTATGACAACTGGCTAAGATGCAATGACATGGTCTTTGCATGGTTGAGTAACTCAGTGTCTAGGGATATTGCTGACATTGTACTTCATTGTGACACTGCAAGAGATCTTTGGAAGGATATAGAGGAGAGATATGGTCAGTCTAATGCTAGTAGGTACTACCAAATCCAAAGAGAGATTGCTGGAGTCTCTCACGGTTCTACTGATATTGCTAGCTATTATACTAGGTTAAGAAAACTATGAGATGAGTTAAAGACTGATTCGTTTGGTCCAGCTTGCACTTGTGGAGCAGAACTACAGTGCAGTGAACGACAAAAACTCATTTATTTTCTTACTGGGTTGAATGAAACATACTCTAATGTTAGAAGTAACATTCTTATGATGAATCATGTGCCTTCCCTAGGTAAAGCCTATTCCATGTTATTACATGATAAGAGTCAAAAGGGAAATTCAAGCTTCAGGGTCTCCATTTCTTTCAGAATCAATTCATTTCATGCCAAGTCCACTCCTGTCCAAAACACTTCAGTAAATAAGACTTATTCTCAGAAGATCAGTTTTGAGAATAAAAAGACAAACATTACGTGCAAATACTGTAGAAAACCTGGTAATTCTATTGAAAAGTGCTATAGGCTACATGGATTTCCTCCTGACTTCAAATTTACCAAAGGGCAGAAAATTGTAGCATGTGTTCAGTTTGATGATCCTAGAACTGATTCTCTTTCAACTCCTAAAGTCTTACCTGGAAGTCCAGTTCATGGGTTCAGTAAAGAGCAATATCATCATCTCATGAGTCTATTTCAACAGTCTCAAATATCTGTTGTAACTCAGGATCCTGGCATTGGCTCTTCTGCTATGGGAGTATTTGCAGGTGTATTTTGTAGCTTTGCTAAATATTCTGTTGCTTTATGCTGTGCTTCTCAATTAAAGGTTAATACTTGGATTCTAGATTCAGGAGCTACCAATCATATGACCCCACATAAAGAACTCCTACAAAATATTCAACCCTTACCTTTTCCTTACTTAGTAACACTTTCAAATGGTTACAAAGTAAAAGTCAATTACACTAGTTCTTTAAAACTGTGTAATGCTCTCATTTTAGCAAATGTTCTTTTAGTTCCTTCTTTTCAATTCAATTTGGTTTCTGTGCCACAGTTAGTTGATCAATTTCACTGTACAACCCTCTTTCCCAATATTTCTTATTATGTACAGGCCCCTTCTCTGAAGAGGCCACTGGAAATTGGTAGAGCTGCTAATGGGTTGTATGCCATTCATTCAGATCTTATTGTGGCATAGTCTGTTTCATCTGTAAATACCATTTCAGCTACTTCTTCATTTCGTAAATGTGATTACAGTGCTTGCACCACTACTTGTAATCATGTTTCTTCTATTAATAAAGCTAATATTTTATAGCATCAAAGACTAGGGCATATGCCATTTAATAGAATAAAATATATTTCAATTCTTTCTGACAAATTGTCTTCAAAACAATCATTTATTTGTCCTGTTTTTCCCTTAGCTAGACAACAGAGACTCTCATTCCCAGATAGCACTATCAAGTCTACTCATTCTTTTCAACTTGTACATATTGATCTATGGGGTCCTTGTCATACAAGAACATATAATGGTTTTAGGTATTTCTTGACTATTATTGATGACTTTTCAAGGGTGACCTGGACACACTTACTTTCATGTAAGAGTAATGCTTTTTCTATTATCAAAGTTTTTGTTTCCATGGTCCAGAATTATTTTAACTCTAAAGTCCAAACAATTAGGTCTGACAATGCATTTGAGCTAGGTTCCAGTTCTTAAATTTCTTCTTATTTTGCTGATTCTGGTATTCTTCATCAAACCATAATTCCCCACACTCCTCAACAAAATGGGATCATGGAGAGGAAACACAAACACTTTTTAGAAACATCAAGAGCACTTTTATTTCAATCTAAACTACCTTTCAAATATTGGGGTGATTGTGTGCTTACTGCCACCTACTTAATCAACAGGTTTCCCTCTAGTACTTTACACAATTTGTCACCTTTTGAGAAACTTCATGGTCATTCTTTTACATATTCTCATCTAAGAACTTTTGGTTGCCTTTGCTTTGCTACTTTGCCAAAGGTGGGTAGGGATAAATTCTAACCTACAGCATCTCCATGTGTATTTCTGGGTTATCCTTTAGGAAAGAAAGGGTATAAGTTGCCAAATTTTACATTTCATTCTATCATATTTTTTAGGGATGTCATTTTTCATGAATATATCTTCCCTTACCATTCTTCATCTCCCCCTCCTACTTTTCCTACTTCTCCTGATTCTTTTACAGATATCTTACCTACCCCTACAACTTCTGCACCTTTCCCTATTCAGGTTCCTCACTCTACCTCACATGTGGCTCCTTCTCCTCATGCCACATCTTCTAATCCTTCTACTACCCTTTCTACTATTCCTTCCCATGTACCCCTTAGGAAGTCCACTAGAGAATCTAACACACCTGCCTACCTTCAAGACTATATCTGTTACTCAGCCATTCCTACTTTTTCTGTGAATTCCAAGGTTACCTCTACTGAGATTCACAAGCATGAACCTCAGTTTTATCATCAAGCAACACCTTATCCTGCCTGGCAGGATGCTATGCTTAAAGAATTTCAAGCCTTGGAGGCAAATCAGACTTGGGATATTGTCCCTTTGCCTCCAAAAAAGAAGGACATACCATGCAAATGGGTATATAAAATCAATCAAAGGTCTGATGGTTCAATTGAGAGATAAGGCAAGGTTAGTGATTAAGGGTGATTCTCAGAAAAAGGGCACAAACTATTTTGAAACCTTCACTCCAGTTGTCAAGATCATAACTGTCAAGTGCCTTCTCACCTTGGCAGTCAAGCATGGTTGGGTTGTCCACCAGTTAGATGCCAACAATGCTTTTCTACATGGAGATCTCCATGAAGAGGTATACATGAAAATCCCTTTGGGCTTGACTGTTGGTCCTTCTTCTTCTGATCCTCATTTGGCCTGCAAGTTAAAAAAATTCCTCTATGGTCTAAAACAGGCTTCCAGACAATGGTGTGCAAAGCTCTCACAGTCTCTCCTTTCCAGAGGTTACTCCCCTAGCAAAAATGACTCTGCTTTGTTCACCAAAATCACTGTCTCTTCCATTGTCATTTTGGTGGTATATGTGGCTGATATCCTTTTAGCTGGAGATAATGGTCAAGAGATTGCACACTTGAAAGCCTTTTTAGATCAGCAATTCAAAATCAAAGATCTTGGTTCTATCCATTATTTCCTTGGTCTTGAGGTTTCTCTGGTAGAATGTGGTTATGTAGTCCATCAACACAAGTATACAACTGACCTTCTATCTGAATTTCATTGTTTGGATACTAAGCCTGTCACCACTCCTCTTGATCCCCAGAACAAGCTTCATATTGACTCTGGCGATCCTATTTCTGATCCTTCTACCTACAAAAGTTTGATTGGCAAGCTAAACTTCTTCCAGCACACCAGGCCTAACATCTCCTTCTCTGTTCAACATTTGAGTCAGTTCCTGGTGTCTCCTAAAGTTCCTCATATGTTGGATGCACTACATGTTCTCAGATATCTTGCCAATGACCCTACTCGGGGTATCTTACTCAGCAGCTCTTCCGATTTCACACTAAAGGCTTATTCTGATTCAGATTGGGCTGCCTGCCCTATCTCAAGGAGATCTGTTACTGGATATTTTGTTCTTGGTGATTCTCCTGTTTCTTGGAAATCCAAGAAGCATCCTACCGTTTCCTTAAGTTTTGATGAAGCTGAATATAGAGCATTGAGACAGGTGGTTGCTGAGGTTTCTTGGCTGCTTAGGCTTCTTGCCAATATGGATTTGTCTATAACTTCTCCAATTTCTATTTTTTGTGATAGTCAGGCTACTATGCATATTGCTAGAAATCCAGTTTTTCATAAGCGCACCAAACACATTTAAGTGGATTGTCATTATGTTAGGGATGTTCTTTCTTCTGGTGTGATTTCTCTTCACCATGTGCACACTTCTGCCAAACAAGCCGATATGCTTACCAAGGCCTTAACAGGTGTATCCTCATCACGGACTTTTATTCAAGCTTGATGTTCACTCACCCTCAAGCTTGAGGGGTGGGGTGGGGTGGGGGTGAGAGACCCTTAATGCTAAGCCCATATCCCGGATGAGCTTCTGAAGAGTTGGGCTTATTCCCTATTGGGCCATCTTTCATTTTGTACTTCAGGGATCCGACCCTTGTCCGGTTATTTTCATTTTTAGCCACAATCACTTGTACATATAAATAGAGTCACTTGACTCTATTCTAAATTAATGGATCACATTTTATTTACCCAGTTGTCTCTCGTGTCTTCTCTCTCACCGACTTAGATAATTAGGGTGTTCTCTTCGATCCAATCCTCCAATTTCTCATTGATTTCATGGGTTAACAATATGCGAGAATAAGATATCACTATTCATGTTTTATTGTTAAATCTTATTTTTTACACAAAAATTACATAAATGATTATATTCATCACGACTGTCCAACTAGAAGTTATTTTATTCTCGACATAGTTGGAAATGGCCAAGAAGGAGAAGTTATTTGCTAAAGTCATCTGTATTATGTTCCACGTAAATCGCACTTTGCACATGTTTACCCGAAAAACGGTACAGTTGAATTTGTTCGTGGTTTCTAGACAAGTGAATTAATTTGTTCCAAAAAGTAATGAAATAACTGATGAAATATGAAATACTTAGCCTTAGAATGTAGATGAAACAACAGAGCTAATGAGTCCGGGAACAAGGTTTCCGGGCACAGCAATAATAAGATCAAAAGCGAGAGAATCAAATTATGTTAAAATTTTGTATAGAATATAACATAAATTAGCCAGAAAATTCCTCTCCTTTACAATGATAACTGAGCTCTCTATTTATAGCTATGTCTAGTGAAGGAAATCATAGGATCATGCCCTTCTTTAATGTCAATTATGAGGGCCATTGATGAAGATGTAACGTTAGACATAAATGCTAAATTCCTTGTAACGGGCAATCACCCTTAATGCTGCAAAATATTCCGTATTAAATGTTAGCGGATGCAAAGTATTTAATACTCCTTTTATGATCATTATTCCTTCCGGGACAAGCGGAATAGCTATGTTCGATGGCCATCTCCATCTTGTGTTCCACGTGTCCGTCCTTTAAGCGTCCACGAGCCATGTCATATTTTTTCCTATACAGATAGTCCCCCTGCTTTCCGGTGACATAACTGTATTACCGGGAAGTTGGTAGAAATACTCTTTTGGCGGGAATTACTATAATTCCTTTTGAAGGCCACTGACGGTTGATTAGACGCATGTCTCTCCGCATTTAATGCCTCGAACTTGTGTCTTCCCATGATTTAGTACGCCTTTTGCCGATTATCGAGGTAATCAAGGCAATGAATTTATCCGCCAAAATTTTAGTTATATGCATCATCTTTCTCTTATGTACTTCATAATCTCTCAAACTTCTAATTTGCACCTTTATTTCCCAACTTTTCTCTAATCTTCTTCAAATCAGAAATTTTCTTTCCTTCTATTCCAATGGCTTCCTCTTCAAAACGTGCTAGTTCTTCAAAGGGCAAGAACAAAACCGAGGATACTGTTCCTCCGACAGTGGGTTCCATTATCCCAAGAAGTCTTAGTACTTTGAAGGATTTTGAAGAGAAATTTCCTACTGCTAACCCTTGCACATGGGCCGTTAGTAGGTACCCTTCTTTTATTTGCCCTTCCAGTATTCTTGCTGTGAAGGAAGACTGTCGCTTCCATGAGTTGAACATCGTTGCTCCTGATCTATCGGAGTGAGTGACCCTTCCCAGGGAAGGATTTACATATTTGTTTCACGTATCCCTTTACTTTGGGTGCATTTTCTATGAGCGAAGAGCTTGATTCCGTGATTGCGGAGTTTTGCCTTCGCTACCAGGTGTGTTTCGCACAGGTAAGTCTTTCAGTATGGAGGACGGTCGCCTGCCTTCGGCGTTTGTGCCTAGAAACTGGGGAGGAGCTAATCCTAGCTCATATGATGAATCTTTATTCCCCCAAAATCTTCTGCGAGGGAATGATAAACCTTTGCAAGCATGGACGACGACAACGACCGTGGGTGGATGGAACGGTTCGTTGCAGCCGCCACCAGTGACCTTATTCCAATAACAGCTTCATCCTTTCCGGTTGCTTGGAACCGCACTCGTAAGTTCTCTTTAATACATCTTTTCTTACTAAATATTCTTCCATGCTTGTATTGATCTTTCAACCTTCGTTTGTTATAGCGACTTGATGGATCCCACCGGTGATATAAGGCTTGGACCGGTGGGTTCAGAAAATCTTGGACATCACAACGTCCGAAACCCATTTGTGGAAAGAACTGTCCATCAAATACGGGTGGAAGGCCAAAAATCATAGTAACTTTAATTTACCTCGCTTCCACTTTTTGTATATGAAGAACTTGGTTGAACCCTTCTAACTTGCTCACGAAATTAGGTCTACCTGCGGGCTCAGTTGGTGTCCCTGAGGAGGATATTTTGGCTGACCCTGCTAATGTGGCAAAACTGCTTCAGGAGACACTTACTCGAACAGGCGTCTTCAGGCCTACTTTGGGCGCAAACATTTCTTTACGGAGTCCCCGACTAGAGAACAAGAAACCAAAAAGAAGACATTCCTCAGCGGCCGGGAAAAGAATAAGGGGTAAAGGTTGATGCCCCCGAGTCATCTGCGGTGGTGATGATGACTGGTCCTCCTTCCGGGCTGGCCATAGACACCGTGATGATCAATGATGATGAAGAAGCTAATGATGAGGGAGCTTCTTTACACAGAAGGCGACGATCTTTATCATCTCAACAGGATGCTCAACCTGTTGAGACAGTCACACCAACCGAGGATGATATCTCGTCACTTTGGGGAGAATTTGATTTGGTAGATAATGCCAACTCCCGTTGTCGAGCCCCAATTATTGTGCTCGGTACTGCAAGGCAGAGTACCGAGTTCGTGCCGTCTTTGGTTGGCGAGCATCAAACAACCAGCACTGCATTTGATGCAGTTGCTTCACACTCTTCAACTCCATCAGCTTCATCTCCACCTTCACCATCACTAGCAACTGCCACATCATTTCCATCTTTGTCCACTCTTCAAATAGCGGTTGCTACATCATCTCCATCGGTCGTACCTGACCATGAAAGAGGTAACCCTCCTTCCCAGTCTCCATTTCATGGGAATTTGGGGCAAAATTATGCTGCCCCTTCTAAAGATCCACAAAGGAGGAGGAGTGTTACCCTTTCGGTCTCCAACAGGTGCAACTTGCTTTTGAGGCCGGTGGAGCTTGTTAACTATCTTCAGAAAAAGACTAGGAGAAGAATCAAACATTCTCGGGAGAGTGTTTGTTGAACAATGTTATGCATACGCCGCAGTGGTACGTTCCTTTCTTCTTTTGTTATTTCTTCTACTTTTGAACAAATGTACTCTAAGTTTTACCTTTTCCTATTTTGTAGGCCAACTTTCTTGCTTCTGAGGGCCTCCAAAGGCTGATTCGTGAGAAGGAAGAACTTACTTCTGAATGGGATCAGCTTTTGGCGGAACGGGACCAGACTGTTCTCCGCCTCTCGGTACTGGAGACCAAGGCTACCGAGACCGTTGTTTTGGAGGCCCATTTGCAGCAGAGCCAGCAAGAAATGGTGGCCCTTAGCCAAGAAATTGGGCCGCTGAGGGTTAGATTTGATAAAGCCAAGGCTAAATGGGCAGAAGTCCATAATGTCTTTCTTTATGCAAACGATTGTGAGGCTGCCTCTGCTGAAAGCTTGATTAACATAGAGGCAGCCTTAAACTCCAAAAGTGAAAAGTTTGTTGCTGTGGTAGTGAAAGATGCCCAGTTGGAGGAGAATTATAGGAAAACTATCGAGCATAATAGGCTCTATAGTTCAACTGTTCGTGAGCTCGATGTCAGTCTCAAATCTGCTAGGTCCGCCCGAGAAAAACTTTTCGCCAAAATTTCTCAACTCAAAGAAGAACTCAAGCGCCGAGCGGCTTCCCTCATTGTTGAAAAAATTTATTCCATTTATAGCATGAGGAGAAAAACCTTGGAAGAGGCCAAAACTGGTACCATTGACATTGATGCCGAAATTGCTAAGGCCCGAGAGCTTGAGTTGTCTACAAAAAATGGACTCCCAGTGCAGTCTGACGCTCCAGGTTCTTTTGATTCTGGTTCCGAGTTTTCGAAAACTGAAGAGGGATCGGAAAGTGATGATGCCGAAGACCAAGCTAGGGAAAATGTTGAGCAATCGGTGGAACCAACTCTCGGGGATGCGGATACTTCTCTTCCTCCTGATTCCGGAGACGTTGAAGCTTAGCTTTTTCCTTTCTTTTTCTATTTTGTACCTTTATCCCTATGACGCGCCCTTGTAAATAAAAACATATTTTTTGCTCAAGTATCGTTTGAGTCTTATTTTGCATTTTAAATATTCATGCAAGTCTTCTAACTTTCATACTTGCTTAAGTATTCTGCACATGTTATTCTGTTCGCGCTTTATTATGTGTAATCTTGGATGCTTTTTCTTCGAAGCATTTTAGTTCCAAGAATTATACCTTTTACATGAGGGTTTCAATAAGTATTTGCGCAAGTTTGCTTTTTACGTCTTTTTCGTATGCAGCTTAGAGTGTATTTTTACCGAATGGCATTATGGATTCCGGACATTGATTCTTCCGGAACCAACCTTTTTACGTAAGGGTTTTTATAAGAGAGGGGCCTCTTATATTTATGGTGCTCTTGAAGTGGACGTCTCCTATTCATTACGGCACAAACATTTGAAGTACTTGTTTAACTTTCAAATGGTTAAATTAATCATTGTTCAGACAAGAAACAAGATAAAAACAAAATGATTTCATTTCATTTAATTTCTTCTATTTTCAAATTTTACATAAGCATTTTGCTATGTAGAAAAGAAA